CCCTTTTATAAAAAGGAGAAGATGAGCCCTGGCCAGTGTGGCTCAGTTGGTTGGAGCATTGTCCTATGCAGGTTTGGTTCCCGTTCAGAGCACATACAGAGGTTGTGAGCTCTGTCCTTGGTTGGGTGCCTGTAGGAAGCAATCGATTGATGTTTCTCTCTGACATCAATATTTTTCTCTTCCTCTCTAAAATCATTTTTTAAAAGATAAACCTGAAGATGTCAAAAGTTACTTCTAAATGCATTTTTAAAAACCTAAATTTTATCTTATAGGGAAAAATGATGGTCAAAAAAATGTTCTTTGAAAAATTGCTGACAGCTCTTTAAAGAGGATGTATTTTATGAAACTATATTATATGCATCTTCTCCTCCAGAGGTGGAGGTACACATGAAGATGATTTTTTTCCTGCTTAGAAGAACTGAGAATATCTGGAGAACAGGGTCACATGCTCTGGTCAGAGGGACTGATATTCTAAAAAAAATATCTGTTTTCTGCTTGAAAAACTACATTCACTGAACAACATTTCTGTGAAAATGAATTAAACCAAAGAGGAAATCTGAGTTAAAATATGATACGTTAATATTGGATAGGCTACATTTCCACAGGGAATGGCTGCTCAGGTATTCACCTGCCTAACATCCTGCGGTAAAGCTTCAGGAGTAGAAGAGGAAGATAAAATTAATAATCCTGCTTGTCTAAATTCATTACAGGCTAACATTATCCTTTGCCATTTTCCCAATGACAGAACATGCATAGCAGGAGGTGGCTGAATTGCCTTCTGCTTCCTGCTGAATCTTTCTTCAAGAATGTGAACCTTTAATCAGAAGTGACATCTTTCTGATCTAATGTTACATATGGGAGGTATACAGACATAAGAAGTCAAGGGCTCCCTCCTCACACCAAATGACAAAGAGCTATTTTTAGATAGGTCAGCGACTACTGAGAGAGTAAGGAAGTCATTCCGTCCACAAGAAATGTCCTAGTAAAATCCACATAGGTACATCTCCTGGGCCATTTACTGAACCAATGAGACTATAAATTACAACAGCACAACTGTAAGAGTATAAATTGTGCCACAGACAACTTTGTTGCAAAAATATTAAGTAACTTTTAAATAGTAGTCTTGCATTTTATTGCAACAACCACATATTGTGCCTTATCTCAAAACCATAAGCCATATACTATATTAAATAAAAAATTATACCCCAAATATGTGTTATAATAGTTAAAGATTGATAGTGAGAAGGGATGTATTCACTTGGTAATCATATTTATAATACACTAGAGACCCAGGCACAAGATTCATGTACACTGGCCTGTGTACTCTGGCAGTCTGGGAGCCCTCAGGGGATGTCCCACTGATGGCTTAGGCCCACTCCCCAATGGGAGAAGGCCTAAGTCGGCAGTTGGACATCCTTAGCGCTGCTAGGGAGGTAGTGAGGCTACCACCACAAGCTGCATTCACCAGCCATGAACTGGCTTCTGGGCTCTGGCTGAGCTGAGCTGCGCTCCTCCTGTGGGAGCACACTGATCACTAGGGGGCAGCTCTTGCATTGAGCATCTGCCCCCTTGTGGTCAGTGCACATCATAGTGACCGGTCATTCTGCCATTTGGTTGATTTGCTTCTTACCCTTTTATTATATAGGATTCATTATTAAATAAAATAATTAAGAAAAATAATGTGAATTCTTTTTATGAAAAGCTGCCTATATGCTTTTTTTAACTAGGAAAAATATCTGGAGGAATATATAGCAAGGTACAGGTTAATGATGAATTCTGGGTGGTAGGATGAAGGGTAATTTTATTCATAACCTATCTGAATTTTCTAAATTTTTAATATTAAATAGGCATCATCTCATCATAGAAAAGGAGTTTTGTCTTAATTATGTTTGTTGAAGATTTTTTAATGTGATAGCATGCTTATGATATAATGTTAATCACTTGCCATAAATAATATGCAGTCCATTTGAGTTCAGATTCTAGTTTTAATAAAAATATATGTTGTTATGCTCATAAGAGATGTCAAAGTAGACAATTCAGGCTTTCTTGCTTACCTGAGTGCTATGATTTTATTTTTATTTTCCTAATTAATAAGATAAGATTTTTTTCAAGGAGATAAATGCAATTTCTAAAGCACCAAATATTATGTAAAGCTTTGCCAGTCATATGCATAATGAAGTAAAGTCCTAAAAATATTTATGCCACACGTTAGCAAAATCACATGAATATGAGATTTTTGGAGCTGGAATAAAATTTAGAACTGATTTACGTAAGAAACACTAATTTTAAGACTAGAATATGATGCAGGTCTCTTGATTCTCTGTCTAATGCAATTATTCATTATCTTTTTGAAATCTAACAGATACCTTTCTTTTTCAAAGTCAATAATGGTCTGATTTACCTTTATGTAACATCCTTTACGATGTCATATAAATAATAGATTAAACCTGATTTTTTACCTGCTAGTACTTTAGCTGGGCTCATTAATAAAAACAAAACAAAACAAAAACCACAAAAGAAACAAACACTAACAACAACCACCTATATTTTTATGTGTTATTTTTCCTCGAAGTGTTCTGAAAATAATTTGACTGGAACAATTTTATTTTAAAATAAAAGACAGTTGACCTGTTTGAAATACTTGCTTTATAAATGGCTAGGAATTCTTCAGTCTAGTGAATTAAAAAGTCCTTTGTCACCAGCTACAGCTAGGTTATTCCCAAGAAAATATTCTTCCCACTTAAGCCATAGCTCTTGAAAGAAATCTCTTAATAGGATCATAAAAGACAGGAGGTATTTGATTTTAAGATCAAATTTCTACAACTGAACTATCAACCAGCCAAGAGTGAAGGGAGGATCTATATTCAAGAGTTTCATGATTATTTAGCCACAAGCTATAAATTTAAGCTTCAAAAAAGCATTATTCATAACTTTTAAAAAATTGTTTCTGTATCCTGCAGCTCTTCAAATCAGTTCAGAAAATGGAAGAGTGATAAGACATGATGAGAATAAAAGGAAAGGCTCGGTTTAAGAGAAACTATACAATGTTTTTGAAATGGAAATGACAGAGTTCATGCCACAAATATATATTTCTTACTAGTCTATCAATAATAGAGAATGACTGGGGTGGGAGGTGGGTAAACAGAATCAACCATGGCAGTGGTAATTTTAATTGAATTTCTTTTATTTATTTATCACAAATGAACTTCCTGGAGCTGAGAAAGAAATGTATGATATGCATTCAAATTCTAGCCATGAAACAAACTGTTCTGTCTATCAGTTGAAACTGGAATGAGACTTTTATAAATTCCCTGAAAAACCTTATCAACTTCAAATTCAGAATTAATAATACAACTGATAAGACCATCACATTCAGAGCCTTCTCTGGGCAGAAGACCTGATTTTACGCATGCCCGGAGCCTTTAAGAACCTGCCTACTTTGCCAGCAGCCCTTGTTAGGAGTGGGGAGGGAAGAGTGATGACTCCCTCCTATTGTGAGTCTGAGCTACAGCTCTTACTTTCAGCGCCTCTTAATGATAAGAACGAACAATCATCAGTTTTCTTTGTCTGATTATTGGCTTACAATATAAAGAATACATATTTATCATCTATATTGGGCCTCTCTTTCCTCCCTCAATTCCCAAGACATGGTGATTGCTGATTTCCCATCCATTCAGCATTGCATCTGTGCATTTAGAATGTATTGACAACTTTGACTGGGTTTATCTAGAGGGCAGATAAGACTGAAATGAGACATTTATAAATTTCCAATTCATCTCTTTACCTTTAGAGGCTAACATAGGATACAGACATGTTCTCTCCCTGCCTCATACTCTCCCTCTCTCCATAGTCAAAAGGTCATTTTCTCTACAGACATGCGAAAGAAGCAAGTTTATAAGGATCTAAACAATGTATTCATCTGGCATGCTGAACAGAGTAGGTAATGAAAATGAGATATGCCAGGTAAGAAAAATCAATCAGAGCCATCAGAGCTCTGGCTCTGAAATGGGAAGTTTTGAATCCCATTCTCTCAGTTTACACTCTTCCCATTCTCTCAGTTTACACTCTTCGTGATCTTAGCAAGTTCCATAAGCCTCAGATTCTTTATTTAAAAATAAAGATTATAAGATTCTAACTTATGAGGTTATTGTAAACATTGACTATATTAATGTATGGGAAGTGCTTAGCTGACTTCTAACAAGTGTTGACTAAATAATACTATTGTTATCATCATCATTACTATGGTAAAGTGACTATATACTTATGGAAAATGGACTAGATCAAAGACAAATGAACATTTTCCAATTCAGAGTTTCTTGCACTATAATGCGGAGAAATTCTTTATACTGTAGTGTTTTTTTTTGTTTTGTTTTTTTTACTTTTAAAGAAACTATTTGCTTTAATACAAAACAAACTTCAAAAGAAGAAACTGTCTTATTTTACAATTTATCCTCATCCAAACAGCAGAACCTCACCATTCTTTTCTGGTGAAAGGCACATTTAATAGTGTATATTCATTAATAATAAATCTAAGATCGTGACTTTATCTGCAAGTCTGACTCCTCGTTGGAGGGTGAGAGGATGCAAAAAGTCTTCCTGTCACCAGAGGACCAGACCCGGTTCATGCAACTTAGGACCAACGGACAAGAGCGCATCTGCCACATTCAAACAAGGGTTTGGCATTCACAATTTTCTCCACCTTAAGGAACTCTAGGTCTCAGCTATTTTGGCATTGTTTATCCCTACTCCTTAAAGAAAGCAGCTTTCGGATCAGTAGCTGATATAATTCAGAAGAAAAAAAAATGCTTAGTCTTAGCTGGGGCTAAGTCCCTCTGTAAGCAAGCTGCCCTGAGCTCTCAGATGTCTGGTGGGATAGGAGGTTTAACTGCCTCTCAGGAGGCTGGAAGAGGGAGTAAGGAAAACAGCACATGTTCCCCTCCAGTAGAAAGCAATAGCAGCTTGGTTCGGGAAGAATCCCATTCTGCAAGCACACTACACACCTGAGGCCGTAGAGGACGGTGCCGTCGGGGTGCAGGCGGATCATGCGGTTCTTGACGGTCACGCCGTGCACAAACGACTTCTTGTCATTCAGGAAGTAGGTGTCGGGCACCCAGAGCTGGTCTGCGACTCGGTTGTCCAGAGTTAAGTTTAAAGGTATGACGTTGTACGACAGCCTCTTATCTCTCCAGGCTTGTTGAAAATACATTGTCAATGTATAATCCTGTAAAAGTGAGCAGAAAATATGCTTATTTTGTACCTAAGAGGACTTGGGAAAAAGGCAAACATTTCTATATTCATAAGAAAAGAAAATATATACAGCCGTACAGCAGACATATACTATACACATACACTATTCACATATACTGAGTGGCCAGATTATTATGATCTCTGAATGCATAATAATCTGGCCACTCAGTGTATATCCTATATAATAAAAGGCTAATATGCAAATTGTCCCTTCGACCAGGATTTCGACCAGCAGGCAGGTCAACCAATCACCCATGTCCCACTCCGTGTATGGTATTTATTTATTTATTTTTTATTTATTTTTTTATTTTTAGAGGCCCAGCTGGCCAAACCCCATCCATGCTCGAATTCATGCACCGGGCCTCTAAAAATAAAAAAATAAATAAAAAATAAATAAATAAATACACACACACACACACACACACACACACACACACCATACACGGAGTGGACACATTATTATGCATTCAGAGATCATAATAATCTGGTCACTCAGTGTATATAGGCACATATTAATGTATTAAACCCATTCTGACTGAGTACCTACTATGTGTCAGGCACTATTGTAGGAACTATAAATAAAGAAGTAAAGAGATCATGTCCTTATAAAACTTATTACACATTACCCAGGGAGAGAAGTGATTACTTTATAATTAATTTGTCTTTCCCAAAATGGGGTACGCAGGGTTGTTTTCGGTGAGACAAAACACTGCTTAAAAATAGTTAATTTATTGTCATAGTAATGGTAAGTTTGTTGATGAAAATCCTAACTGGTCTCATGAAGGTGAGTTTCCCAGGAGAGGTGACATTTACACTGGAACTCATGTGGCTTCCCAGATAATAAACAATATCCTCTCAAACACTGTTTTGTGAGAACTTTAATCCCAGGATTATGAATCAGCAGGCTGGGCTCTTCGCTGCTGAGGAAGTTTGTTGTCACAAAGGGAACAGTGGCCTTAGAGTCTCAGCGCCAGCATCTCTCAGCTGTGTCTAGGATGGAAATTTATACCATTTCTTTTCACTTCGGTTCCATTAGCTCTAAATGGGGCTTTTAATACATGCCTGACCTAACCAGCAGATTATGATGACAATGAAGTGTATAATGCAAATGGGATGTGTAAACTACAAACACTATAGATTATGAATAAAGCATTTACATATATATTGTGACATGTTTCATCTATTAGAAGCCTATGGGTCCAATGTAATTGTGCTCTCACCCTTATGTGGATGACCAAATGAAGGGTCACATATTCATTTGAAAGGATAATTATCATCCTATTTTAAAATCAGTTCATAATGCCCTGGGGGCTTAAAAAAGCACCCTGGGATCATGTTTCTGCATAGTTTTGAGGACAAAATATACACTTTAATCTCCATGAAGTTCCGGAGTATTTCCAACTTTTGTTGATATTTGTACATCTTAATTTGGTTATAGAATTTTTAAGTATGACTTCTAATATCTGCTTAAAATCATTGAACAATTTCCATAGGAAAAGCATAACCCCTCTGCCGCAGAAAAAAAAAAGTTAAGTATTTTCCCTGGTTTCAAAAATATACAAATTTTGATCTCATTTAGAATTCAGCCCTACCCTACTTCTGAATGAGTAGCTGAAGAATCAAACTTCTATTTGGATAATTTCAGGGTATATCAAATAACTGTAGGCAAGATTTCCTTTGCTGGATCCCTGTAGTTCGAGCTCTGGAAGGTTCTGCAACACTCTGCTTTAGTAAAAAAAAACCAAAAAACAACAGTCTGAGGCTCTCTAGAATAGTGACTTGATTTGTAAGAAAGCAACCTTAAAGGCTTATTTATGAATTATAAAATTAGAAAACGGGGGGAAACAAACAAACAGATACGTTGTTTGCATGTGTCTATGTAACAAATAGCCTAAAATGCAGAATATAAATAAAATAAGCCATTTATATTGTGCTTGAGAGAACACATTTAGTGATATCAAATTCTTGGAGATAAAATGGAAAATGTGCTTATTATCTCTACTAGAAGATAATGCTACTTAAGCTTTGATAATAAGCTCTCTTAAGATGTAGGGGAGTTAATATTATTTGGATGCTACTGGAGTTTATCATTCAGCTGAGCTGTGCTTGGCCATAGGACATTGTTTTTTCTTTTGGGCTCAATAAAAGGTAATATTGTGAGATCCTGTGTCATATGCGAATTTCTGTTATCTGTCAGCAAGGCAATGCCTGCTAAGACATGCTCTTAAACAGACCCTGGTGATTCTGCGGTCACTTTAACTTTCATTTTATTTATTTTTAAGCAACACATCATGGCAATGTCAAGAATGGGAGAAACTAATGAATCTATAAAATAACTATTACTGGGCTTAAAAAGAGTGGTTCTGTGTTCCACCTTGTTTCCTAGGCCTTCACCTTCCCAAGACAAATCCTTTGAACTTTCATAGAGAAAGCATACTCTTCACATTTAATAATCCCACATTATGAAACAAACCAATTTACTTTCAACTCCAAATAGGAGGGAAAACCACTAATTATAACTAAACATTCTAAAGGGAATTTTTAAAAACCACCTAAGGACTATGCAAAGTAAAAAATAGTAGTCAGATTTGGGAGCCAATTGAAATGTGAAGAAAGACCATTTCAATGGTGAGTTTATTGATGTATTTTTCTCTCCCTCATATATCTCCTTAAAGTACTTAAAATAAATATAGGTAAGATTTCTTTTGGTAGATCACTATAGTTCGTGCTCTGAAAAAACAAATCAGTCTGAGGCTCTCTATTATAGAATAGTTTCTTGATTTGTAAAACTGCAGCCTTGAAGGCTTATGAATTACAAAACTAGAAAATAGAAAATAAACCAGATACATTGTTTGCATGTGTCTATGTTACAAATAGTCTAAAATGTAGGATATTTGTAACACACACACACACACACACACACACACACACACACACACGCCAAAACCATAAATAAATACAGACATATACTATGTTCCTGGTTTAAAAAGTGAGTCTTGTTAAGAATTCCCCCCCATTGGTCTATAAGTAAAATTCCATCAAATCCAAGCAGAATATTTTGTAGATATGCTGATTCTAAAAACCCATGCAAATGAAAGGAATGAGAAATCAAAACAATTTTAAAAGGGAAAAACAAAGTGGGAGGATTCACACTATTGGGTTTTGAGACATTAATAAGCTATACTAAGACAATGTGGTAGTGTGGTATTGATAGAAAAGTATGTCAATAAAATTGAATAAAATAAACCCACACAAATAAGCTCTATTTTCTGACAAAGACACAAAAACTATATTGGAGGAAGCACAATCTTCTTAACAGTCTGCATCAGCTGGAACATCTATATCTACATAAATGAACAAATAAATAAATATACAAACAAATCAATAAGAACCTCAACCCATATGTTATACCTTATACAAAAATTAATTCAAAATCAGTCAGAGACTTATATATAAAATGTAAAACTATAAAACTTTTAGAAGAAAATATGGGAGAAATCTTCTGTGACCTTGAGTTAGGCAAAATGTTTTTTAGACATAAACTCAAAAAGCACAATAATAAGACAAAATATATAATTTGGGTATCAACAACATTTTAAAGTTTTGCTACATGAAAGACATAATGAAGCCAGTGAAAAGACAAACAACAGACTGGGAGAAAATATTCGCAAATCACATATCTGCCAAAGGACAGCTTTCAAATATCTAAATGTATAAAGAATTCTGAAAACTCAACAAACAATCCCATAAAAATTGGCAAAAGATGTGAGCAGATACTTAACCATTCAAGATCTACAAATGGTAAATAAGCACTTGCAATGATAGAACACATCCTAGGTCAACAGGGAGAATAAAAGTAAAAACTAAAATGAGATACTACTATGCCCCTATTAGAAAGGCTAAAATAGAAGCACTAAAAACCACTGACAATCACACGAGCTGGTGAAGATGCAGAACAATGGAGACTTACACATAGCAGGTGGGAGTACACAGTATCAACCACTTGGAAAAGAGTGTGACAGTTTCTTACATTTGGCATATGAGCCAGGAATCCTACTGCTGTGGGGAATGCTTACAGAAGCTCTACAGTAACTGTCAAGCCTGGAAGTCATCTGGATGAACTTTCTTCAGCAGATGAAGAGATAAACAAACTGTGGTACGTTTCTGAGTCAGAATACTACTCACCAAAAACCAAGAACAAACTATAGGTACATGCATCCTCAATGGTTTCCACATATAGAAAGTTAAGCAAGGGAAGCCAGATTCAAAAGGTGAAAAAGTATATGATTCTATGTATAAGACATTCTGTAAAAGGTAAAACCTCAGAGTCAAAGAACAGATGAGTGACTCCCTGGAATTCGAGGCGTGGGGGGAGGTTGACAATTTAGGTGCCAGCATGAGGGGACACTTTTGGGTACTAGAACCGCTCTGCATCTTAACTGCAATGGTGCTTCATCACTTCAGGCATGTGTCAGAACTGTATCCTAGAGTGAGTGCATTTTTCTGTGTGTAAATTAAAAAAGGAAATGTTTAAAACTGATTGTAAAAGTACATGGTCTCCAAGGTCAGACACACCAGGCTCATACCCTAGTACTTTCATGTCCCTCTGCTGTGATCTTGGGTGAACCCTCTCAAGTCTCTGCATCTGTTTCCAACTCAAAAGAACTAAAGCTGCAGAAACCGGTTTGGCTCAGTGGTAGAGCATCGGTCTGCGGACTGAAAGGTCCCAGGTTCGATTCCGGTCAAGGGCACATCCCTGATAGGGGGTGTGCAAGAGGCAGCTGGTCGATGTTTCTCTCTCATCAACGTTTCTAGCTCTCTATCTCTCTCTCCTCCTCTCTGTAAAAAAAATCAATAAAAGATATATTTTTTAAAAAGTACTAAAGCGGAATAACTTAGGATTTAGGGTTAACAACAATTGCTTTGTTATCTAAGAATGAAAAAGTCCAGTGATGCTACAAAATAAGTACCCCT